GTGTGAGTGTGTGTGTGTGTGTGTATATACAGTGTGTGTGTGTGTGTGTGTGTATATTATGTTTTATGAAATATGCATAAGACTTTAAAACTGTAGGTAATATTAAAAACATACTAAAAGCAATTACCAAAAAATGTGTATAACTAGACTGAAATGTTTAATTATCCAATGATCCAGGGATGTATAAATGAAGCCAAAAATGTGAAAGTTTTAATAATTTTTTCTATTAAGTAGAATATGTTACATAAATATTATTTCTTATTTATATAGTATTTATCTATCAATAATATTTCACATAAAAAGACAATTTCATGATGTGCTCAGAATTTGATTTAAATTTTAGAATTAAAATTCTATTTTTTTTTTTTATAAAACCAAAAATATAAACGTTTTAGTTTGAGCATTTGTTTATTTTAAAATGAATTCAGTAATTTATTTGATATTATATTATATTCATTAATACATTAATGTGTACAGGTGTTTGAGAAGCTGAAGGATCACATGCTCATCCCAGTGACCAATCAGGAGAAAGCGAAGGTGGATGGAGGGCTGACCTGCTGCTCGGTGCTCATTAACATGAAGAAGAACATCTGAACCACACGCAGAAACACTCAAAATAAATCAGATCGTTTCATCTGAACGGAAGACAGTATAAAACTTATTTCAGGTCTCAAACCTGTTGCTTTATCATATGTGAGGAAAATAAAGTACATTTATTTTTCTAACCAGCAACATTGTGGTCTTAGCTGGTTTAACTAGTCTCCAGACCATACTGACTAGTTTAACCGGCTCGGTCAGGATGGCCCTCTAGCTATTTACTTTTTTTAGCAACAGTGAGTTAAAACTATTACAATTGTTATAAAATCTAATTTGCATGACAAAAATTGCCCTAAACCTCAAAATGTAGCTGTAAACTGCTAAAATCATCTGGATCCACTCAGAACGACTGAACTGAAGAGTTTATCACGTTTAACGTCCATCAAGCCCCGAAAAAGCCTGTTTTTAAACAATGAAGGCTGATTTGGTGTTGCGTAGATTGCAGGTCGTCACGTTCATAAATAGATTTATAGAGCATTTGAACTGTGTTTTCTGGAATAAATATCCGCGGACTGCGCAGATGTGATGTGTGAAACAAGCCATAGTGAAGTGCTTTTACTGAGTAATTGAAGCAAAAAAAAACGTTTTTAATAGATTTATTTTTAAGTACAGCTGTTTTGTTCGTTTGTCCTGCCGTTGTAAAGGCAGAAGCCAGATAATAAAAAATATGCCCTAAGAACGTTTTGCTAACATTCCCATTAAGTTATTAATAAACACATTTTCTTTAAATTAAAAATTTAAAAATAAAAAAAAATAAAAAATGTTAAAACTTTTTTTTTCTTGGTTATGTGAACGTTAGAGAAAACATTACATTTGCGAACATTTCGGAAACGTTCTTTTTGAAAGTTCTCTGAAACGACTAAGTTGTAACATTTAAAAAACATTGGATGAACAACCAATTAAAACGTTTCAGAATTATTTTTTTTCATTAATAATGTTTTAGTGCTGACGTTATTAATAAAGACCAGATAACTTTGAACAAGCGTTCTATTAACGTTCTGTTAACTTTAGGAGAACCTTGCCAGAATGTTCTCTGTTAGATGGAAAAGTGTTTAGTCTAGTATGTAGCGCATATTGAATTTTTGTGTGTTTGATGTTGACAATCACCGTTGATATTAGTTGGTTGCCGTTACAGGAAATAATAGGTCAACTGGAGCGCAATGCATTGTGGGATACAGTATTGCAGATGTAGCAGGTCATCCAGGACTATGCGGGCTATGCAATCTTTACATACCGCAGAAATAGAGTAGTATGCTAGTGGATTCAAACATAGTCACGGTTTCACGATCCTCAGGTGCTGATTGGACGTCCTTCCTCACTGTGACTTCAATCTAAACTGTGACGTCCAATCAGAAGTTTGCCAACATCTTTGTAATTAAACAGCACACCAGTATTGGTGCTTGCTACCTTGACACCACGGACAACTTGTTGGATTAGCATAGTGTTAGCACCTAGCTAAATTACCATTAACAACAATAACTTATTAGCATCATACATTTAAAACTTGCTGTGGTTGCAGCTTCACTCTTCACAACTTTACGTTAACTAAATGTTGTTAGAAAATCGTAAATTGTCTGGTGCAATGAATTATGGGTAATATTAGCTGAACAATCAAGCATGGATGCGTTGTATGATGATTTGGGACACTTACTCTAATTGTAAACCATTTGGAATGGAAAGTGTATATATTGGACTAGCGTTTTTATGTTTCTGGTGGGGTTTTCTGTGGAAGCTTGTTTCCACCACAGGATACAAAAATAAAAAGGTAATTGCAACCTTTAATCTCCTAATTCTTACTTTTTCTAACAATTCTGAATTTATTTCTCACAATTCAGACTTTTTTCCTCGCCGTTCTGAGAAAAATGTCAAAATTGTGACATAATTGTGAGATATAAACTCAGAATTGCAAAAGATAAACTCGCAATTTGAAAAAAAAAAAAAAAAAAAAGGATTGAACTTCATTTTGTGGAAGAAACAAAAAAGAAACAGAATTGCAAGACAAAGAAAGTAGCCTACAAATTTATATTTCACAATTACTTTTTTCCCCTCATTGCAAGTTTTTTATGTAAAAAATTAGAAAATGTAGGATAAAATATGAAAAAAAAAAAAAAGTTTGAATTGTGAGGGGAAAATTCGCATTTACCTTTTTTTGGCGGGAACCAGTGTTGCCAACTTAGCGACTTTGTCGCTAGATTTAGCGACTTTTCAGACCCCCTTGATTCAGACCCGTCATGAACATGCTAATTAGCGTATGACGTCATCTAGCGACATTTAGCGACTTTTCAGGTGGGGTTTAGCTACTTTCCATTGAAAGAAGTTGGCAACACTGGCGGGAACAGGCTTCCATAGTTTTCTGCGTGTGACAGTAGCTAAAGTTGCTAATCTGCCTAGCTGTGCATTTAGCGTTGACAAACAATTTCTCTTTCACATCTCACCTTTCAGTTTAACGTTTTTTTACGCTAAGTGTTTTAGGATTCGCCGAATTAAAGAGACAGCGTCTGTCGTAATGCTTCAGTTTATTTCACCTCTTGAAAGGAAAATGAAGATTTAAAGCTCAGAGACACAGGCTTGCACCTATAAAACTGGATTTAGAGTTGTCCCAACACTTTTACGATGTGGACCGATAAACACATCAGCCGCCTTTTTATAAGGACGTGAATTATAGGCCACGATGAAAGCGCAGCTGTCTCTCTTTTATATATCTGTCTCATTCTTCATCTCCTAGATGCTTTGCAAAATACGTTATCGTTATTTCTCTGCCAGAAAGACACTTGTAAAGTATACTGTATGATAGCATAAAGAAACCGCTGTTTATTAGTGATCTGCTCATCCAGAAAGAATTTCATGTTTCATCATGAACTTAAATTCACCCTGAGTTTTCCCTGCTTTCATCTCACCAAATGTATGCTGAAATCTGTCATCACCCTAACAAAAGACACCAACTCAGGTCTTCAGGATTCTGCTGCCTGCAGTATTTACTTCCTACTCTTGTATTTTCTAAAAAGTAAATGATTTTTAAGGCGATGTACACTGGACTGGTCGATCAGTAAAGATAGATGTGACTCAGGATTTTTAGATGTGATTTGTATGTGCCATAATTCCCTTAACACTGTGTCTTTGCTCTTTGTAATGATTTTGATGGGTTTGTTAAATAAAGCAGCTTTTGAATGAGTGTTTTGTTATTATTTTGTGGTAAGTGTAGGGCCTACTTGAATGCACTAAAAATAATTCAATACTAAAAGTGCATTAGTAGTAGCCTACATTCTTATTTTTTGTGCTAAATAAAATTGTTGAAGTTATACACTATAAATACACTAATTAAAAGTATATTTCTACTTCAGTACTTCAGTGCGATTTAAAAAGTGTAGGCTACTAAATACCACTGATATTTAAAGTCCCCATGAAATCAAAATTAAAGTTTTTTGGGTGTTAGTATCAATATGTTAGTCTTAAGGTTATCTATGAGGCAGTGTGCTCCAAAATTCGCATTTAGAAGATATAAGCATTCAAAGCTTGCAGTCCGTCACTTCCGCCAAAACGGTTTAACGATTTTTTTTTACGTCACATCGTACTTCAGCTTCTCATCAAACTTTCTGTCCAATCAAATGCTCTCTAGAATCCGAAGCGCCCGCCCCCTACACTATAAAACAGACGCTGAAGCCGCGGCTGAAATCGGTCACTTGTCCACAGAATTAGTATTTTCTGTACAACCGTGTCTACGGACGTGAGCGGCGCGGTGCAACAAATCCCCGACAGAAAACTGGATCAGCGCTGGAAAGCTGATCCGATATTTACATGGGTCCTACTTCTTGCCTTATCGTTCCGCAGACGTTTTCCTCTTTTGTTTTTTATCCGCCATCTCTATCTTTCTGTCGCTCGGCTCGCTAATGTCCGTCATGTGCACTGAACGCTCTCTCCTCCACATCACGAGTAGACACGCCCCTTACTGCTGATTGGCTACAAGTTTGTTTTGCTATTCGGCCCGAATCGGTTTTCTAAAGTGTTTTTGAAAAATCGCGTACCCCACCTTTAATATGCCTCATCAGGTCATCACAAATGACTGTGATTGGTCCGACCTGGCTAACATCGGGCGTCTACGTCAACCGCGGCCTCAATCCTGATACTGACGAAAATAATATTCTTAATAGCTCTTCATTTGAAAACATGCAATTAAATGATCGTTTATGCAAATTGTTGTATGTTTCATTTATTTCTTTTTTTTTTATTGACCAGAACAAAATATACAACAGTATACAAAAGTGTTCTTAAAAACATGCCTGAGTGTAAACAATTGATTCATTAATCAAAAATTGTATATTCGTGAAAAATATTACAAGTCTTCTTTGCTCTTTTATGAACAATGTTTTCCAAACTGGTGCAGTAGTCCTTTGTCTCCTTGTAGAAAATGAATGAAATTTGGCTTGGATCCTGGCCATTTCTTCTTATGTTGGCTATGTGAAATATTCCCAAAATAATAAAAAGTTGCACAAGTAAAGTGAAATTATTATTATTTTCATTGGAATAATACCTACATATATGAAACTTATTTAACTTGAATATAATATTTGTTTTCCTTCTAATGACATTTTCCATATCCACCCAGAATACACAATATCAAGACTCCTTTTCTAAAAATCACAGGAATAATCAATATCCAAATTAAATCTCTAACAAATAACACTTTTAGCTGAATATATACCATGTGAAATTTTACTTTATTATTTAAACAGTATATTTCACAAATACGCCAAATATATTTTATTTCTTTTTTTTAATGCAAGACAAAAAGAAAACAAAAACAAGAAACAGCACTGCATTGAAATACAATAACATAAAAGAAAAAACAGCAACAATGACACCTCAATCAATAAATAAAATATCGTCATAAGCCTTCAGAAACTTGTTTTTCTTATTGTTATCAATGCATTTAAGAGATTTAACAACAAGCAAAAGTCTCTGCAAGAAAGACATCAAATCTAGGTAACATATTGAGAAATTTGGTTTTATGAATAAAAAATTTACAATGCAAAACAAAATGTTCGATAGCATGGTCACTGCCAGAAAATTACCGAAATATATCTTTCAGTGAAAGTTTTAAATCGCATTTTATAAAAGAAGGTAAATAACTTAAGTTCTCCCAAAGAGATTTCAACTCATTGCAATGATAGAATAAATGAAGTACAATTTCTTCCTCAACTTTGCAGAATACACATAAGTTAGAGAGATCAAAAAAAAAAAAAAAATGCAATTTGGGAGTTCGTTGGATAAACATTATGCAAAATCGTAAAATGTACCTCTCTGATTTTATTAGAAATGCAGAATTTTTCAGGGAGTAACCATGCTTTCTTCCCATGAATACTGTCAAAAAATTGGCCCAGAAAAATTTATATTTTATATATTTATATCTATCTATCTACTGTTACATTTTTTAAATCAAGAATACAAGCTCCAATGTTTTATTTCTTTTTATTATTATTATTATTATTATTATTATTATGCTTATAAACAGAACAGAGATGACATTAATGGCATAAAACTTTGTATACAATATACAAAATGTATCAATGTCATCAGAACACATAAGAAAATTAAGAAAAGAAAGAACAAACAATAATAATGATGATAGGTAAGAAATATAACAATGGAGAAATAGGAAAAACTAAAGAGAAAAAAATAATAATAAACCATGAGGGTAAGATGTTAATTTATACATCAATTAGACTGTACAAATTAAAGTCATTACAAATTAATATGTTTTATTCCTGCGGGTTACGCTCCGCCTGCGCTTACGTCATCAGCGCGCGCCGAATTCAACATGGCGAGTGTTGTTTAGTTGTTATTGATCCGCGGTTCCGAATAAACCCACAATCCTTGAATCCAGCGGCCTTCTCTCATCTTTATCCACCATGAGCGATGAGAAGCAAACAGAGGGTCGCAATTTCTTCATGGGTTACGATGATCTGAGCGACAGCAGCAGTGACTCGGACGGTCGTGTCGAACCGGAGCCCTCCGGAC